GAATATAGTTCTCATTTTTGTAACCCCAACGTCTGTCCGATTACAAAGGTGAATTACATAAGCACGTGTAAGCGTGATAAGAAATAGGAACGCCATGAGGAGGCGGCCTGCTTATGCGCCGGTTTCTTCATCCGGTGCGTCCAGAGCATAAGGTCATCAATGATTCGCTTGAGGGTGAAGATGTTGTGGTGGTTCTGTTGCTGGAAAGTCATGGCGTTTCTGGAGTCCCATATTTTCCATAGGATAATGAGGAGGATGGAGTGCCATATTAGCTTGTCAAGCTGGTTGGGGAGGCGGCAGTCCCAAAGGTTGTCGATGGAGTTGGTTGGCGATATTCCGAGTCGCTGCCATATTCTCTGAGCGAGGGGGCAGTGTAGGAAGATATGCGAGGCGGTCTCCCCGTCGAACCCACACCATGGACATAGCACGTATGGTACGATGTGCTTGCGGATAAGGTTGCTTTTGGAGTTGAGTCTTCCACGAAACAGAAGCCATGCAAAGATTTTCACACGGTTTGGAACGCATGAAGACCAGATTGCAATGGCATGGGCGTCGTCATCATTGTCGGCCATGACCAGCTGATAAGCGGCCCGTGTAGAGAAACTGAGGCCACCGTTTAGGTAGCGCTCGTCCGGTCCCGTCGACACCTGGAAATCCTGCAGGAGAGACAACAAAGAGCACAACTCGGTAGCGGCATTAGATGTTAGGTGGTTCCTTAGGATTGATTCTAGACCGTGGTTCATAACAGCAGCCACACGAGCAAGGGTGGTGGTGGTGTGTGAGTAGAGGCAGGGGAAGAGAGTAGCGAGTGATTGTTGGTGTAACCAAATATCTAGCAAAAAATAGGTGTTTGTTTCGGATTGTGTGATGACGAAGGAGATGGAGTGTAGAGTTGGTAGTTGGTGGTTTATGGTTTGGCAGAGGAAGGAGTGGCTGTTTTGTGGAGCGATGAAAGCATTTGGGTGTTGAAGGTCGATCCAATCTTGCCACGGAGTTTGGTTCGGTAGCAGAGCTTTTACAGCAAATTTCATTAATAGACAGTTATTCTGAACATGGAGATTTTTTAGACCTAGACCACCTAGCTTTTTGGGCTTACAAACATTTTTCCAAGCAACTAAGCATTGAGCACCGGTGCAAGTTTCCTCTGCGGCCCAGAAGAAAGCGCGGCGTATGGAGTCTAGGGTTTTCAGCACACTTTTTGGGATGAGAAAGACTAACATAAAATAGACTAAGATGGAGTCTAGGGTTTTCAGCACACTTGCGAGTGATGCGAACATTAACACAAGTGAACCAAGACACCTACACCCACACCTAATCCAAAGCCTACTCTCTCACAAATCGGTCTAACCCTCCTACACCTAATCCGGCCTCCTTCCAGTCTTTGATCTCGTTCATGATGTGGTTGTGTAGCTCATCCATGTTTTTTGTTGATTAATTCGATTGAACACTCTCGCGTTTCTCTGTTTCTCTAGGGACCAAGTCACTACGATTACGAACGTGTCGAATCCTCTTCTTTCAGCCCGCGTGAAGTTTCTTCTAGCTTGTAGCCACCAGTCCAACAGGCTATCCTGTCCAAGTGGGTGAGTCACCTCCAAGTTTAGTCCGACGATGCATTTGCGCCACACCTGTCTAGCGTATGAGCATTGTAAGTGTATGTGTTTCGCATTGTCCTCCTCTTGCAGGCACGTGAAACTGGCAGAGGGGTGATCTTGTAGACCATGTCGCGCTCGCCGATCGGAGGTCCAGATCCGATGCTGGACAGTGAGCCGAACATGGATTCTGCATTTCAACGGCGCCAACTCCTCCAGCTTCACTATGTTATTGCGCTTGTTCTAATAAAAAAACACATTTTTAGCGAATGAACGACTCTGCCTTAGTGGCGACTGGCCTCAGTGCCATCCCTATACCTTGAACCCTCCACTTGCTGTAAGCCAGGTTGACTCGCGCAACAGAAAAGTACTTGCAACCAACGCAAAGCATATATTACATGCTATTCTTATTCCCCATCAAAACAATGAGAGAAGAATTTGTTGGAAAGAACGCGACACCATAATCTCTAATAGCCACCGTTACACCGACCTGGAGGTGTTCGAATTGATCAGAGAGGATGGAGATCTTGGAGGGCAGCTGGGTGTATCACTGAGATCTGTTCTATCCTTTGTTCGTTTGTGCAGAGTTGGGTTGTACTAACATACAAGCAGCTGAACCGGCTCTGTTTTCTGTATGCCTCTCAGCTCGCTATGCTGAGTCTCTCCCGAGCAAGTCTGAACTTTCTTCCTCTCAAAGAAGCACATTAACAAGGACGGTGATGTAAACTCATAGACGAAATTTTCATCATCATCATCATCATGGTGGTATATTTACAAGGGATGAGGGGACAACCAGCCTAGTCTCAGGACATGCCTACCTAACTATTGCTGCAACGAACACAAGCACCCCTAGACCCAAGCTACCAGTGCCCCTAATTTCACATGCATCAATTAGACTGTAGGAAAAGCAGTTCATAGAAATTTACTTGGTCTTGCTTCCTTAGTGTAAAGAACTTTTATCAGGAAAATTATATGTTTTAAGGTCTTGCAAAATTGCTGAGTTAGTTTGCAAGTTGGGAAAACAACTACTAAGCAGTTCATACATGATGACTGCTTTTACTCGCTTCATCTTGATACATCCATTACTCCTGTCTTGTCTCGGCCATCTTGGTTTGGTGGCAGTGGACAAAACCGCCTCTTTTGGCCTGAATAAACAAGGTAAGACGAGCTGAGGTGGGTAGCCACTGCTAAGTACAAACAAACAGAGGTGAGCCTGAATTTTCTCACAAACTTTCGATCTTATTTACCTTATAAGCTGGATCATTTTTTTTTAAATGAGATCAAATTTAGGTGGGGAGCCTTCCCCCGGTGACAGCTTCAAATGAAAAAGAATCCTGATCAACTCCTACCACAATGGTGGAAGTGATATAATTGATCTATCCCCCCTCTCTGGTATTTTCCAAGTGTATGAAAACTAATAAGACGGCTATTGATGTGATGTTCCTAAAATATCTGGTACAAGTCACTCGCAGGACCCAATTTGATTCCGCTCGCCGGATCATGACACCAATCTTTTCTCTGTCGGCTTGCGCCCATCTCAAACTCTCGCAATGGACAAAAATGAACAAAACGGCATGAGGTGGGCAGTCCCACTGCACCTGGACGACTCGGAGAGCTGCGGCGTACACAAGCAAACTGACCCCAACAGCACCCGGTATCCTGGAAAACCAACGTCCGAGCCTCCTGTTTTCCTCCGGCCCTCCTGTATATATAACATCATCCGGCTCCTACTCTTCCTCTCATCAACCCAAGCAGTCAGTTCTTCACTTACACAACAGATTCTACACTCCACTACTGCCCAATCTTCAGGAACCTCAAAGTTTTGCAAAAGAAAGAAGAGAGAGATCATGGCGGGTGCGGCGAAGGCGTCATGGACGGTGGCGATGAGTGTGGGCGCGGTGGAGGCGCTCAAGGACCAGGCGGGGCTCTGCCGCTGGAACTATGCGCTCAAGTCCATCCACCGAGCTGCCAAGGCCAAGGCCACCATCCGCGGTGGCGTCTCGCAGGGCAGCAAGCAGCTTCAGGCCTCCGCGTCGGCCGTGGCGGAGAGGCGGCGAGCAGAGAAAGCAGAGGAGGGGCTGAGGACGGCGATGTACCTCAGTTGCTGGGGTCCCAGTTAGTGGTAGCTAGCATGAGGTGTTTCTGCAGTTCTGCTAGCTCTATCCTCCAGCAACAACTATGCCGTGTGGCTTGGCTGGTTAATTCCTTCCCGGTTGTAAATATGTCTCACCATGATGATGATGATGATGATGATGATGAAATCTTTCCCCACTTTTGAGTTCAAATTACCCTGATTCAGGAAAAGGTTTGAATTGCCCTTAAAACAGGCCTGTTTGCTTAGGATTCTTTTGGAAGACTATTGCTTCCAGTTGGTCACAAGCTTTGCCTGTTGCTCTGTTCTGTTCGCTGTTTCGACAGGCAGAGCAAAAGCAGAGACCCAAAAAATTGATCCCGGTCCTTTTCCTATTTCGTAGGTTCAGTTTCATAAACATACAAGGGATATGTTTCTACTAATCATGGGTCGACTTTCTTGTGTTGCGTGATTATTAACAAACAAGCGCTGAAACGAAGCATGTGGCACTGGAAACCATGTCCGGCTCTTCTGGTTTTCCCCTTTTCAACTCTCATACATGTGGTCTCACTGTCGCCTGTCCACAACATCAACGTGAGGTGATACTGATAAGATTCTCCAATTAAGTTGGTGCAGAAACTTAACATATTTTGATACCGCACTGAAAAGGTGATTGTTCTTAAATAATTTTTTGGTACAATTAGCATTTCTTGTATTTACATGTCACAAGTGGTTACTTTTAAAATTTGTAGGGCCAAAGATTTTTATTTCCGAAAAGAAATAAGGTCATATATATTAAGTATCACAAGTCCTTATAAACATACTTATACATAGACAAATAAATTATATTCAAGTGCTTGGGTGCCGAAGTCTTTTTTCCTTCTGATTCCATTGGCGACGCACCATGAGCATAGCCCGATGTCGCCTCTGGGTAGAAGAAACCGAGAAGTCGTCAGTGCAGACTAGGAGACGCCGATGGTCATAATGTGGAAATCAAATAGCCGCCCGGGAGAAGAAAACGCCGATTAGGGTCAGTAGATAATCCGTAGAGCGCAAAAACCTGGCGAATCCAGACGGATCTTCCGGAACCTAAACCGGCCGGATATCGAAAGGCCCATTAGAGACACGGACCCATACGCCCTCTGATGGTGATAACGACACCAGCGAAAGGTGAAAGAGCGGGGAGAACATTATTCCTACATTGGAACAACACTGCCACCTCGTCGCCTCAAACCAAACTCGAAGAGTGCCGAAAGAATACACATCCACTCCTTATTCTCCAGTGACCTAGCCTGGTCGGCCCGTCGATAAAAATTGTCACGCAAGATCACAAACAGCGCTGCTGAGCGCTGCCAGACAAAGACTGTCACTCAGCCACACATATCTAGCCGCAGCCCTCCAACACCTCAACAAGTAGGCCACCCCCAATCCGGACCTTCCTCTGCCATTGCACTGGTTTTTGCCCGGCGATGCGCCCTGATAGTGACGAGAGGGGGAGTAGATGCGGCAACGACTAGGGTTTCAGTTGCCTGCCGGTCCTCTCTCCATGAAACATTTATTTGTACTTTGTTTTTATATACATGAAGAAATATATATTTGGGTCCATCAATTGTGAAAGTATAAAACTACAATGTGTGAAATTTTCCATCTCCGAAGTGTCAAATTGTCCAGATTGGCAGCTTGACCCATTTATATTTGTCTTACCATCAAGTTGACGCGACAATTTTGTCCATCAAGTGTCAAAGCCATCTAGATTTTGTATTTTACCCCATTGAAAGTGGTATTGGCAATGTTATGGCAGCCGTTTTGCATACGAAGTAGCATAGTCACCACAATGTGTTTTTTCTGACAAAGCTCTGGAAAGATGAGAAAATAGAAAAGTACAACATTGTAAAAAAATTCCAGGCAACTAGAAAATTAAACTAGGGAAAAAACAAGTCAAAATTTCAAACGTTTGATGAATAATATGTTTATTTTAGGAATTTGTAAGTCTATAAACATAACTTCAGAAACAAAGAGTTGAAAGAAAATTTGGTAAAAATGAATTGTTTTTATACAATCTGGAACATTTCAAAATTTATTAAAACAAAGGGAATTTTAAATGTGAAGAATTGAAATTTGGGGAAATAAATGTTTTGAAATTTATCAGAATCTGTAGTTTCAGGATTATTTATGATAGCAATCCAATTTCACATTTCCTAAAATGTCACTTGATTTTTTTATGTATTCCCTAAATGTATTTTCATTTCCCCATTTTATTCTTGTCCCTTTTCAACTTTATTTGCACACTTAGCTACGCCATGTGCAAAACCACCTGTATGGCAACTTCAAACAATTCTAACATTTGTTGGAAAAATTCCTGAAAAAAACATTTGATGGAAAAAAATCTGGACCATGCATAGTTGAGGTGCCATAGATACTTTTTTTTGGACAACTAGTTTTAGTACTTGCAATAAAAATTGATTTTGCTTGGTGGATCTTGATACCGTTATCTATCCGGCATTCCCATGAATCCCAATCCGAGGCTCTCGCAATGGCCAAAACCGGCACTTCCACGGTGAATGCACGAAACAACATGGCAACGATAGGTGTGGCGTGAACAAGCAGAGTAGCAGCAGAGTGACTCCGGAAGCACCCGGTATCCTAGAAAACCAACGTCTGCGACCACTGTTTTGCTCTAGACCTTCCAGCCTCCCTCCTGTATACAACCTCGTCCCAGCCCCACTCTTCCTCTCATCAACCCAAGCATCAATCAGCCTTCAGCTCAAAATTCATTCGCAACCACAAAGTCCATACTCCACACTGACTGCTACCTACCAATTTCCAGGCATCACATAGTTCAGACACATCAATCAACAATGCTGTCTCCACCAACGCAAGAGAGATCATGGCGGGAGCGGCGAAGGCGTCGTGGATGGTGGCGATGAGCGTTGGCGCAGGGGAGGCCCTCAAGGACCAGGTCGGCCTCTGTCGCTGGAACTACGCCATCAGGTCCATCCACCGGGCAGCCAAGGCCAGGGCCAACATCCATGGAGGCGTCTCACAGGGCGCCAAGCAGCTTCCAGCCTCTGCGGCGGCGGTGGCGGAGAGGAGGCGAGCGGAGAAGGCCGAGGAGGGGCTGAGGACGGTGATGTACCTCAGCTGCTGGGGTCCCAATTAGCAGCTGCAACTTGGTACTAGCTAGGCGTGTCTGTGTTTGCTGCAACAACCATGGCCTGAAACCTGTCCGGCTTCCCGTGGAATCCCCCGTTGTAAAATACCATGATGATGATGAAAAAAAATGATGTTACTTGAGCCCATGTCTATTTGCTTATTTATTATCTTGGTGAGAATATTCATACATGCTCTGATTTGGTTTCTGCTTAGCACCCAGAAAGAACTTACGAGTACACTTAACAAATCATACAAATTGTAACGATCAATGGGTCAAGGACCTAGTGGCAGCACACTAATAGGTTCCAACAAAAGGATTTGGGGTTGGGGATACAGGGACACCAAGAAGAGGGGAGGAGAGCAGGTGTGTTATATCTCACTTCTGATTAGATGCACTCCCGGATTCAATCTTCAGTTACAGCTCACGCACACGCAACACCACACTTTGCTAAACAGGCTGGGCTGTCTCCGTTTCACTTTGATCTTTGGGTTAATGCAGTGGCCCGACCCAGCCCACTGGCTCGACACGACCTGATGAATTTCTTCAGCCTGCGGCACTTTGTTAAAGACTTAAAGTAACACAAGTGATAAATCCTCGTATCTGTTCTCTTTTTTTTTTTGAGGGTATGTATCTGTTCTCAAGGTGTCATCAAGCAACCAATCCATTTAGAACTTAATTAGTTTTATTGGTGGACCTGCCTTCGGTTGCTTTGAATTGGTTGAAAGTACTTTCTGTGGCTCCAGTCCACCTAATGTGCGACGAGGTCGTCGTGAATATGTTTTGAATTTCTTTGTTGTATATTCGCTAAACAGACTAAAGTGACAAAAACATGATACATCTCCAGGTTACACCACATTAATAAGTAGATGTGCTTTCTGATCACATTAATCACAGAGTGAGGCACATCAAAGTTACTCCGTATCTTTGTAGTTTCCACTGAAAGACCAGCCATTTGGATTTTTCCCTACGGCAATGAAACCAAAAGAGAAGAAAAATAAATAAAATCAGACTTTCAGATAATAGGTACAATCAGATGCACAATAGTTCCTTCCAATTAATTAAGCTGATTGATATAAGATAAAAAATACTTACAACTAAGATAAATAATGGTCCACCACAAACCTGTACTAAGATATTTGTTAGCCGCCTATATTATAGAACTCTATAGCAAGATATTCAAAGGTAATAAAATAGGCGCATAGAAAAGCATACTTTGCATCTGAATGCTACTTCTAATTTTACTCTCATATGATCGAATCTAACTTACTTAAATGTCCGAAACATATTTGGAAAACATAATATAAGTTTTACAACAAAATGGAGTTGGTTTATCATTATAGTAATTTAAATGACATTTTAAAATAATATTTAACTCTAAGTTACTGCTTGGACTTCATGTTGTTAGGTATAGTAAACAAAAAATGTTTTTCTTTTTGTAAATGTTGTACTCCCTCTAGTCCAAAATAAGTGTCTTCAACTAAAACCATGGCACTTATTTTGGATCGGATGGAGTATTAATTTAAAATGTAATATGGTATATAAAAAAATATAAGTGTTTGGTATAAATAAGTTATAACCATTGGCACACTTAGAGGTTTGCGAGGGCGATGGACGACGACATTACTCGTTTAATCTGTTCCTCACTTTGTCCGATTGGTATGAATTGCCACCGGAGACCCGGGGCGACCAACCATGCTCACCCCAGTGGTGATTCCGCCACTGGTGATAACCATAATTTTTAAACCGCATGCACAATTAAAATTGATCATTTTATCGATCGTCTACACTTTCACCAGGTTTTGTGATTTTCCTTTTACTATGTGTTGGCCTTAGTTATGTCATCATTTTTCTTCAACACTATCAAAAAGACATAATATCCCGTCTCTCATCTTACGTCTTCTGTTTCGTCCAACCTTCCACATCCCTACAAACCCCTCCCATCATTTGCCGGGTTATTTGTCCATCTTTGGTTCATTTTAATGTGACTCTCGTTCGTGGTTCACTAGGATGCATCCCACACACCACAATCGACTGCTATTGACGCCTGCCTCACCCTTCTCACTTCTCCCAGCCCCCACTACTACAGAACCGTATAGCACTGACCGTGCAAATCATATCATCACTGATGCACCAACAACTTGTCATTAGTTCCAGGCCACTGATGACTTTATCATCACAGACAATCTTGATGGCCGGTCAATGATGATGACTACCAACTGAAATGGTTCGTTGAGATGCCAATAAGTTAGGATACACCAGCTGCCAAAAATGAATAGGGGAAACCTCAACTTTTAAAGAAGTGTTGGTTGTTTAGAATACCCCCTTGGTTCAAATTCCAGTTTTATTATGCAAAAGTCAGCAACTCAAACTGAAACAAACACCATTTGTAATAAATGAACTAGGGAAACCTCTGCTTTAAAAGAAGTGTTGGTTATTTAGAATACCGATTTGGTACAGATTCCAGCTTTTTAAGCCAAAATTTGACAGCTCAAACTGAAAGAAACGCAGGCTTGTAGTCCCACTATCATCACAAGAGTGTGTGGCATTGTGTTAAAACTCCTTAGTTTATTTCTTGATTGTCAACACCCTTGCGAAATGTCAAAACAATCTAGGTTTAGTATTTGCCACACTGAAAAAGGTTTCAATAATGAGGAGACGACAGTTTTGTGTACGTGAAAACATAGCTGGCACAAACAATTGACAAAACCCAGAAATAGAGGAAATAAAGAAAATAAAGATTCCATTTCGTGGAACCTCAGTGAATTTAAAACTTAGTAAATTTTATTATCTTGGAGTATTAAGAAAAAAATATGGATTTTTTTCTAAGAAATCCAAGATTTCATTCAGATAAAACTTTCAACAAAATGAATATTCAAAAGGAACTCATCAGAAGGAAATAAAAATAACCAAAAACTCCATAATATTAAAAACATTAAAACATGGGGATATTAAAATAAAAAAGGAGAAAAATAGGGAAAGCATTGTCACACTTCATCTTGATCAAACGGCTGTGAGGGGGTTCCTCCCTCCCAGGGAACTCCAGCTAGTTAACATTAATGAAACAAAAAGCTTCTAATTTTGATATAATAATGTTTTTTTCATACATTTTAATTTTTGCATATTTAAATTCCTTATATATTTTATAATGATTTTTCTCTCCATAATTTTCTTGACTGATTCAAATTTATTTTCTCACCGAAACTGTTGCCCATGTCAGCATTAAATCAATTTCAACGAAGCACCATGATTTAGTATTACACTTGCTTGGGAGACGGAACGAAAATATTTCATCAGGGTTAACCTCTTGCAAAAAATTATAAGGAGCTATTGTAGCACAGCAATTTGTTTTTCTAATTTGTGTACGAATTAAAGTTCTATAAAATTGCTAATTTATTTTCACACTCAAAACAAAATAGGTAGCAGTATGAAGGAGTCAAAACTAGATGATGATCGTTTCTTATTGAAAAAAATAGGTTGTTCTATCGTTCAAATGTCTGAGAAACAATGAGAGGGTCGTTGAATTATTGGTGCTAATTCCAATGCGACTAGTTTCAGTGACTCGCAATAAGAAATTCGATTCTGCTCGTTGGATCTTGAGATAGGTTATTACAATTGCGTCGTTCCGATCTTATGTCTGCCGGCTTGCGCCGATCCCAAACTGTCGCAATGGACAAAACCGCTACTTCTTCCACCGGGAATAAACAAAACGACATGTCGTGCGCAGCCCACTGCACCGGAACGACACCGAGAGGTGAGCAAACTGACCCTGAATTCTGAAAGCACCCGGTATCTTGGAAAACCAACGTCCGCTGCCGCCTGTTTTCCTCTGGCCCTCCCGTATATATAACACCATCGGCTCCCACTCTTGTTCTCATCAACACAAACAAGCATCGATCAGCTTGCAGCTCAGTTCCTTCACCACCACAAAATCCACACTCCACTGCTATCAAACTTCAAGCATCACAGAGTTCAGGCAGGCCATTCAGCGGCGTCATCTCCTCCAACGCGGCGAGAAGAACAGAGTTGCAGAGAGATCATGGCAGGTGCGGCGAAGGCGTCGTGGATGGTGGCGATGAGCGTGGGCGGCGTGGAGGCGCTCAAAGACCAGGCCGGGCTCTGCCGCTGGAACTACGCGCTCAGGTCCATCCACCGGGCAGCCAAGGCCAGGGCCAACGTTCGCGGTGGCGTCTTGCAGGGCGCAAAGCAGCTTCCGGCTTCGGCAGCGGTGGCGGAAAGGCGGCGAGGGGAGAAGGCCGAGGAAGGGCTGAGGACGGTGATGTACCTCAGCTGCTGGGGTCCCAATTAGTACTAGCTACAAAGAGGTGTTTTCTCCTAGCTCCAGGCTCCAGCCTCTGTTTAGCAACAACTTGGCTGGTTAATTCCCTGCCGATTGTAAATACGTACGGAGTATCACGATGATGATGATGATGAAACCTTTCCCCACTTCGAGTTCACATTATCCTGCTTCAGAAAAAGTTTTGAATTGCCTTTCAAACTCATCTGTTTGTTTCAGATTCTTTGGGAGGATTAGTGCTTCGAGTTGGGCGCAAGCTTTGCCTGTTGTTCTGTTCGATGGGCAGAGCAAGATCGGGAGCCAAAAAAGTGATCATGGTCCGCAAGTTTTCCGCCAGCTTCTACAGATGATAATCGAAACTTCTCTTTTTTTTGCGAATTAGTTTCGCACGTTCAGCTTTATAAAATTGATCGGGAGCCAAAAGGAGAAAAATGAATTAACAAAAAAAGTGAAGAAAAAACTAAAAATAAAATAAAATAACACTTAGGCCTTGGCCTAAGGCCCTGTTTGGAACATCGGGTTAGAGTTAGTTTGGGTTAGTTGGGGGCTCAAATAAGCCAAAAGTATCCAAACAGGAAGGGTTAGAGTGGGTTAGTTCCATCTAACCCAACTATCCCAATGGAGAGGTGCTTATTTGAGTTAGAGTGGGTTACAAAATAACTTAACTCTAACTGTGTTAGAGTATCCAAACAAGGCCTAAGTCGGTGACGCC